TTTTGAGGTCTTAGAATATAGAATTAATTATTAAATTTAAAGATGACATTTTGGGTCATCACAACACCTTCTGTTGTTAAACTTTAGGACCTCATCTCCTTAACTTTATATGTGCAGTGTAAATGTTAAGGACATGGTGTCCCTAACTTCATATGTGCATTGTAATTGTTAAGGACATAATGTCCTTAACTTTATGAGTATTGTGTAAATATTAAGGATATAGTATCCTTAACTTCATGAATGTTGTGTAAATATTAAGGACAAAGTGTCTTGTATTTGCACCTTCTATTGATAAACTTTATGTCTTAAAGTTAAGGACATGACGTCCTTAACTTCATGGAGTGTAAATGTTAAGGACACCATATCCTTAATATTTACACAGCACTCACAAAGAAAGGGTAACAACGTCTTTTCATATTAATTTTAATAGAGTAGTGGCTATTTTTGTCTTTTTTTTTTAGCCGACGGTCTTTCGGAAACAGCCTCTCTACTCCTTCGGGGTAGGGGTAAGGTGTGCGTACACACTACCCTCCGCAGACTCCATTAATGGAATTTTACTGGGTTGTTATTGTTATTGTATAAAAATTAAATACCATGTTAAAAAGTGGTTATCCCGCGCCATTTCTACTACTTTTGTTTTTAAGAAGTCCACAAATGCCCAACATTTGGCTTTCCCCTAATTTCTCCTCTTTAATTTATAGGATTATTTTTGTTACTCTATCTTTTACAAACCAAAAAACCCCGCAAATTCTCCACTCTCCTTGCAATCCCCTTATCTCTCTCTCTCTCTCTCTCTCTCTCTCTTCAATCCCCACCATTCCCTTTTCTCTTCACAAAGAAATCACTCTTAAATTTCATTCCATTTACGTACCATCATTTTGATCCATAATTCCTTTCTTCTTTTACCATCTCTCCATATATTCGTTAAAGCACACAACTATACACCAATCTTTTTAATACTTCATACTAATTGTCACACACGAATTTTCCGCGTATACAAGAATGAAAGAAGTTCATTAGCAAAAAATAAAAAATAAAAAAAATAAAATAAGTTGCACCTAATAATACTAAGCTTTGTGAATTATGTAATGCCCACACCATTTTCTTTTGTACCTCTGATTCTGCTTTTCTATGTTACGCATGCGATACTAAGGTCCATAGCGCTAACTTCCTCGTTGCTCGCCATATCCGTATTATCCTCTACCCTAAATGCAACTCTCTTACTGCAAATTCCTCCTGCTCTTGCTCCCCAAAACCGGCTCATTCTCTTTGTTCCTCGTCCTCTGCTTGCACACATATGCAGTGCTCTACGAGTCAAAAGAGAGTAGACTACTTCGATCGCCGCCGTCATATTGGAAGCTTTTGGGATTCATCGGCCGCCGTCAACGTCTCTTCCGGCGAAGTCACTTCATCTACTAAGCCTAGTCAAAGGCGGTTCAAATTTTGAAAAGTGGAGTTGTTACTAGATTAGACTCGAGGACGGAAGATGTGTTCCTACATTGGTGTAATAAGCTTGGGTTGTACGGTGAGGAAAGTGCAGTACATACGGCGCATGATGCTTTGGCCGTTTGTCTGGTCCGCTTGAGGGGTTGGCCGTTGCGAGTGTGCATTGCGGCGAGTCTTTGGTTCGATTTGAAATTGACTGATTCGACGTGGCAATCCGTGAAGAGTGTGGAGCCGATCTCGGGAGTACTGGCTAAGCTAATTTTGGCCACTTAAGTAAAGCTTCAACGATTCATAAAAGCTAGCAAGCAACGACGTCAAGTGTTGTTGGAGGAGGGGTGGGATGAAAGTTCTCCTTGATCCCGAATATTCTCCTTTTTTTTCTTTTTTTTTTTTGTTCTCCTAAAAACTGGTTTAAGAGTAACTTTTTTATATTTTATATTTCTGTTAGATAGTGTGACATTTTAAGATTCTTTCTAGCGAGTCATTAGAAAGGGAAGACATATTCCCTCGTGGTCTTTATAGCTTATTAGCCAAGCTACAAAAATTAGTTTTTTTTTTTCACAAGTATTTTTTTCAAAAGTTGGCTAATTAATTTGAAAAATATTTTTAAGTAGCAAGTAGTGTATGACCAAACTTTTAAAAATTATTTCTAAGTATATTTTTCTCAAAAGTGCTTTTAAAAAAAAATGATTTTGGAGAGAAACTATTTTTTTTATGATTCTCTAAAACTGCTTCTGCTTCTCCAAAATTGTTTCTGCTTCTCCTCAAAAGCACTTCTTTCTACAAAAAATTTGGCCAATACTTCAACTTTGAAAAAAAAAAAGTTTATAGAAATGGAAAAACTCGGCAAACAAGCTATTAGACATGACAGTACATTCTTTGAATAGCCGTCCATTTTCATTTACGTTTATTAACTCTCCTCTTTTTTCTCCTTTTTTTCTTCTCCTCATTTTACCATCTCTTTCTTTTCTGACTAATTAAAGTTACTTTCCCTACACTTGGCAAAAAGTCTCGTGACCATAAATGGTTTTGCTAATTTATTTGAAAACGAAAACCTCCAAGTACATCATTATAGATTTCTAGCACCTCCGTCCTAATTAATTCAGTATTTCGGTTGGCTTCGACCTTTCCCACTCTTTCTGCTCCTCTATTCCACTGCATATACGTAACGGCAGTACAACTACTCTGAGCTACAGTTTCGCCATAAAATAATTTTATTTAGCAAACATATGTTTGGCCATAGATTTTGGTAAAATTTCAAATCTCAAAATTAGCTCGATAGCTGGTTTTGGGCCAAAATATCACTATTATATTTTTAAAAATTGTCCCAAACTTTTGTATTTTATAAAAGAGCTCACCATTTATTATTTTGTAAAAATGTTGTTTCATCTTCTCGGTCACTTGATAGTGTATCATGTAGTTCATTATAAAAATGATAATTTTGTATCAAGTTTTTTTATGTTCAGGACTATGGTTTGCGATAATATAATGAATGTTATTGATAATGGTACTGTTGGGTATTTATGATAGTTTTTAGAACTTGTGGGTATAAATCATGTTTCATGTTTTTCCAAAATAAATTTAGAAAATATATTTTGAAAACTATGTCCAAACACATTTTCATCTTCAAACCAAACTTCACCCAAATCAGATTTTTCAGAACAATTTTGGGAATGTATGACCAAACGTTAATTTATTTTATTCTAATTGATTAAGCAAATATTGCTCCGTTTACCACATGTAGCAGTTGGTCAATAATCTTACTAGAGCAATATTATACACGAAATTCTTCCAAGTGTCAACTCTCCCCCATAAAAAATATTCATAAATTGACCGCCCAGGAACTTAAAATTAACTTAAATAATTAAATCCTTGACAGATCTGTTGGCCAGATGATATTTTACTTCAACAAATTAAAAACTCCTTTTTTTTGTATGACTAAGATCAACAACAGGACATGACTATTACGCCACAGTCTCGGTGGTCTAACAAATTTAAATACTTCGCAGCTATTTTCAAGAGCAAAAAACATAAATAGACAAAATTTAAGAAAAATTTCCACAAAAGTAACAACAATAGGTATTTTACATACAAAACAACTAAATAATTATATTCTTAGCAAAAAGTTTTAAACCCTTACCTACAATCACACATCTAAAGTGTTCATTTCCTTAAATATAAAACCAAATGGTTTCAGTTTCCATCTATTAATGAAATTGTCATTAATTATGATTTTATTGGTACTTTCTCTCTATTTCAATTATGGTAATGTTTTATTTGGTGATATAACTATATTTTATTGATAAATGTGAATGCTTGTATAATAGTGCATACTTGGATGAATAAGTGATATTTATAATATTTATCTATTACACATATTATATAATTTGTATAATACATCAATATTTATTTAATAATTATATTATGAAGTATAAATTAAATATTATTAGTATAAAATATTGTTTTATTTGGATATACATAGTATATAATTCTTTTTCTCAACATGATAAATATATACGATGTATATTTGGAATATTAAATTTTATAATATAAAATATACCACATATTTATTGTATAAATATTATATATTTAGAGCACATTGTAGTTGTTTAAATATTATATAATATTACTATAATATATAAAGTATAAAAATGACTCATGAATGCTTCACGTTTAAAGCCTTTCATTTTATTTAGTGATTGAATTTTGTGGAAGGGAGAGAAAATAGTGAAAAGGAAGAGAAAATCATGGTATAAGGATTTTAAAATTTATTATGACAAATTTATACTAAACAAATAACATAAATCTTTAAATTTATTCTAGAAATATACGAAGAATCTGTAACTGTTATATTCAAATGTAATAGAATATAAAATTATTAAATTAAAAAAATATGGTTATACAATGTACGTTTTATAAATATTTACTGAATTTAAGTTACATTACTTCATACATAATTATAGATCTAAATGTCCAAACAATTAGAAAAAATTTAAACCCCAAAAAAGTTGAATATATTTTCATTACCATATAGATGAGAGAAAAACATTTAATAAGGAAGAAGGGAATAAAATAAATCCCTAATTTAGTGGGATCTATTTATTTTCTAAATCTGCCAAAATAGTAAAAAAATCTTTCATTATTAAAATAAACCACAAGTGATGTTATTTATATAAATAGTCTTAAATAAGAGACCTACCATGTAAAAAGCACTATGAATATTTAGTTGAAAAACAATCACCTATCATATAAACATTTTATGTAGTGATTCGTAGGTGATTAAACGTTGATAATGACACGTCTGATGGAGAAAATAGTTTGACATATTCAAAGAAATGTGTCTTTTAATGACTAGACTAGATAATTTCCAAAGTTAACCAAAACAAAATGTCTTTTTACATTATACAGATAGTACATTTTAAAATTTATACAGTTATGTTCTATTTCACAAATCAACAAGAATCTTATATATTCAAAAGGTACATTAAATTTTGAATAATACCAAAAGGAAAAGGAAACAAGATATCATCATATATGATCAATGAATATCTATAGAAAGCAACAAGAAATGTTTGGTATTTACAAAATTTACAGGGCTTACGGTAAAATAATCTAAGGTTTAATAGTCGAAACATACAGTACTAGGATTTCAAAGATTTGAAAATTATTCATCATTAAAAAAAATAAAAAAAAATAGAGGAATGAAGAATATGGAGTACATTAATGTGAACTGCCGTGACAATGATTGACTACCATATGACGGTTTCCAGCAGTAAAATTGGACAGAATATTTTGAAGCTTTTGGCCATAAAATCCAGGGTCCAATGAATCAATGTCATCCCAATTAGTAGAATTAGAACAAGAAGAATAGTTTCCTATATTGTTGCACCATTTCCCGGGCACCACCCCCTGCTGCGAGCGATTTAAGATATACCTGTCGAGCTCGTCTAAAGTAGGATCACCTTCTTTAAATGGCCTAGCAAATATTGCCCCCACTTTGTGCACAAGATTGTCGTAGTTTGAGACATTTATAGGAACGGAGCACCTGAGATCCTGGTTTACTATGGTATTTCTAAATTCTGGGGAATTGCATAGCACAGTCTGAAAGTAGGATTCGAGAGGAGAGACAACATTGGCGTAGTACATTAGTAATTTCCGGGGAAAGTTGTCCCAACCTTTGATGCAGTGTTCCATAAGGGCTCTGCTCAATGCCATCCAAGGGGAACCTAGAAATTGAAATTAAAGTCATTCACCCATTCAAATTTAACAAGAAACAGGATATAAGAAGCAAAGGGAGCCAACCTCCAAATATATCAAAAGTTGTTGGTAGTTCTCTAGTCTCTACAGCATAGTGAAGGTTAGTAGCCCGTTTTGAGTATAGGCTGGGGTCAACAACAATCCGATTGAAATTATGCTGCCTGCAATAACATAGCATTTTTGGGAAAACGTTAACAATCACATCCTTAATTAGTCGGAATGTAGATTAAGTGCGGGATTTTAAGGTATATGCAATGATAATATAAACAAAGATATCTAAATAATTTGCACACCATATAAAATATAAACTGCAACACCCCGCCAATTACATCGTAGATTTGTATTTATCTAGAAACATTAATGGTCGTGACACCCTTACCCCTTCTGGTCAGTAGTCCAATTGGTGAAGCCAACGAAATTGATATCCCTTGGCAAGGAAGTAAAAGCAAACAAGATATCTGCAATTAATGGTAAAGCGTTGCCCAATTTATAACATCATCAAATAATAGCAGCCAAAATATAAGGAAAATTGAGTACTGTAACAGTAGTCTAGTACTAGTAGGCCATTGGTAATCATGAAAATTACCGTCTTGAGTAAAAAGTGGGTAGTCGGAAGAGCTTAAGGTGAAAAACCAATCCCATAATGGACTAATTCGAAGGAGCAAGGCGGCGGCGTGAAGCATGGCAGCGAGAGCAGAGGCGCCCGATTCCATATTGTGATAGTTCACTGCATAACTTTTACCGACGACGTTCACATTTCCAAAAGCCCGACACACACGTTCAGATTCAACAGAAAGGGCTAATTCCATCCTCTCTTCGTCTTCCCCATCGAGAAGGTGTAAAAGGTACTGGTTTCTTGGGTGATACACTGCTTTTAACAGTCTCAACATTCGTTTACTTTCCCCTCTAAAACCAAAAATCCAATAAGCGAGGATCGGAGGGTCACCAGGCCCTTTTGACGGATGGATTCTCTGTATTGACGTATCATCAATTACAATAGTACTAGTTTGATCTGGAATATTCGTCATACTGTACTCAAATCTGCTGCAGAGTACTCCTACAACTAAAAGTAGCAAAGCTGCTGCAACCAAAATAGAAAGCCGTTGATGAATACCTTGACGACTTGTCCAATTCCAGGAAATAAACATCTTAAGCATCATCTTTGATAGTAGTATATTCGATGAGCTTAATAGTGCAAGATTTGATCTTAATAGTATCCTTATCTATCTCAGGGAAAGAAAGGCTTTGAGGTGAATTGGTAATAGACTAATTTGCTCATCAGAACAAGTAAAAAAATGCCGGTTTGTGGGACCCGTTGGGGGGGAAAATAGGGGTACCAAAACCAAACAAACAAGTCATGAGTGACATCTTAAATGAGTTTGGTTATGAGTGACATCTTAATGATTATTAGAAAATGGATGAAAGCTTACGCCACAACTACAATACCAAACTTCAATATATGCTTTTTTTTTTTCTTTTTCTAGTGACAAGTAAAAGCCGTTTCAAACAGGAACTCATAGACGACGGGACGCAATAATTTCAAAGTGAAAGAATAGTAAAACAGCAAGGAAAAGTTCCAAGATATACTGCAGCAAGCTGAAATGATTTGTCGGGACAGCCATCCATCAGTTGGACCAAGTAGTATCTACTAGTCTGTATAGATCTGGTTCTCGAACATAACCCTTGAATTTCCCACTGTCGACTTGGACGTGCTCCTTTATGCCAAAAAAAAAAAAAANTGTATTCCTGCAGATATTTCTCTTTCTAACCAAACAATTACTAGTACACCTATTGTGATTCAAAAAAAAAAAAAAAAGCATCAATTTTCAGAAACCACTAGTGTTTAGTGGTTATTAACTTCCTATAGTTACTATATACATAATTACTTCATATAGCTACTATTCAATTGTTACGGTAGTGTATTCGCTGTATTCGCGATATTGTATTCATAAATACAATAACAAAAAATGCCTAAAAATTAGGACAGTCTAGCTGTACGCGCATGTATTTACATGTATTCGTGTCATGTATTCATGAATACAACAACAAAAAATGCCTAAAATCATGGCAGTCCAGCTGTACGCGCATGTATTTACATGTATTCGTGTCATGTATTCATGAATACAACAACAAAAAATGCCTAAAATCATGGCAGTCCAGCTGTACGCGCATGTATTCACATGTATTCGCGCTGCTGTATTCGCAAAAAGCGCCTAAAATCAGGGTAATCCAGTTGTACGCGCATGTATTCACATGTATTCGCGTTGCTGTATTCATGAATACAGCATCAAAAAGCACCTAAAATCAGGGCAATCCAATTGTACATACATGTATTCACATGTATTCGCGTCATATATTCATGAATACAGTAACAGCAATCACCTTAAAAATAAGTATGTCCAGCTGTCTAAAAACGGAAATAATATCAATTAGCGTGATACACTCCTAATATAACTCAACAATTTCAATTTTAACATACCTCATTATCAACATAATTAATTAGAATGATTTTTCAGTTGTATATAACTTTTATATTTAGCGTGTTTTAATATTATTTTTTACTGTTGCATTCATTAGATTCAATGTTTGTATTTACTGTATTCGCTATTTTATATTCAGTGTATTCAAATGTATTTGTATTAACAATATTTTAGTTATTTCTAATACATGTTATCACTGTTGTATTCAGTATATTTTATTGGTTGTATTCACTGTATTTCTATTGTATTTAGTGTATTTTACTGTATTTCACTGTATTTTAAAATTAAATGTATTCAGTGTTCATATTCTGTTCTATTTTAATGTTTGTATTCAGTGTATTTCAATGTTTATATCATGTATTCATACATACTGTATGTACAGTATGTATGAATACAAGTGTANATATATATATATATATATATATATACATAAAAATACAATGTCTTTGAGTGAATTTGTCCGAATACAATATATTTGTATCATTGTATGTGACTAAATAGCAAAGAAGACAAGAAAGTTCGTCGGAGATGGCGTTTTCCGGCCAAGACTCATTGTATCGCTTCACTACCTCTTCCATTACAATTTACAACGCTTCCAATTCGGACCGCTTATTCCTCTTTTCTCTCTTACTTACCGCGCTAAGAATCCCTCTTTCTCTTCAATCTCTCCGTCGCCCAAGGTATCTCCGCTTCCTTTTTTTGATTATAGGTTTACTTTCATGTTTATAATTTTAAGATTTTTAGGCTTTCTTTCATGATTTATTTCTCTTTCATGTATCTATGATTCAGCCTATTTTTCTCAAAGAGAGAGAGAGAAGAAAGAGAGAGAGAAAGAAGAAAAATTCTGAGAGAGAATCGTGTGTTAATTGAAAGAAAGAGCGAGGAAAAATATAAATAGCGTATTTCATGTATCAATAGTAGTATATACCATAAATACTTATTTTGCTATAAAATATAAAAGGTAGCTATAAAAATAATATTTTAAAATAATTTTGGTTTATAATAAATAGTGCGTATACCTTTGCTATATGAGGTAAAATTTACTAGATTCAAATTAGTTAGACTGATGTAGTGTTATGTATTAAAGTTGGCCCAAATACCATTTCCACTCATTTTTCAGCAATCCTGACATTATCCGTTAGTAATGCACCTTATTATTTCATTTCTAAAGAGAAAGAATGATTTGCCCGGAAACATTTATACAATATGTCACTATATATGTTTACAAATACAATGAACATGAAATAAAGGGCAAGTTAAAATATGTGTAATGGATCAAGTCTTTGTGGAAATAAGTTGGGCCTGTACTTGAGACTGGTCATGGACCTTGTCCATTCTACGTAGGGATTTTTTTTTCTTCCTATACAATATTTAAAAATTATTTATCCAAAATTATCCTAATTTTGTATATTACTCATCCTAAACAATGATTACTTATAAATTATATGTAAACTATTATTAGTGCCTTGAATTAGGGGATTTAGTTACATCTTTTTTCTATTTTCTCTCCTCTTCTCTTTCCATATTCTCTGCTACCTACTCAGTTACATCTCCTTATCATTGGCAACCCCGATCTCCTCCTGCTCGTAATTAGCTATAAAAAAAACTAAAATGGAGATTTAGATGCAAAGGAAAACTCCACGTACTAACTTCAAAAACAATAAGTCTACTCTCTAACTTTACTTGGAATAATATTGAGTGACATAACAACCAAGTCTTCCTCACTAGTTGTCTTTATAGCTTTGCTAGTTCATCTCCACCCAACTTGATCTCATAAGAATTCAAAATTTTAACAGCTTCCTTGTTGTAACTGGAATTTGTAATGTAATTCATGCCCAACTTTTTTTTTCTTTGGTCCAATTTTATTAGGAGAAGTAAACTTAGGCTGCCGATCTTGAAACTACAACATCATATAACTTAAATATAATATCATACAACTTAAAGCATAATTGAGCAGATTCGAAGTTTTAGCAGATTTCAAATTAAATTCAATACCACAAAGGCGAAAATTTACCTTTAAGCAAAATTAAATCCTATCGCCTCCAAACTTCGGAATCAACTTTGTATTAGTATTTTCAACAAGAATCTATGCTACTCAGTTAATTTCTCACACAAAATTCAAATCTCACATAAAACCCAGTTTCTCCGAAGTGCGACGATGACGCTTTTAATGTAAAACTCGAAATTTCTCCATCCAAATCATTCAGTTCCCATTAATATTCAAGTTTTTCCGTTCAAACAAATATAAATCAGTACACATGAGTCGATTTGAAATTCATTCTCTACTTTTCTTTCCTTAATAAATCAACTGAGAAAAGAATAATGTATGCTACATCAACATACAAATTAAAAATAAGATTTATACAAATTTAATGCAAATTTGAATATATACAACAATATACATAGTAACAATAAATTTCATACAACTAATTATATAGTATACAACTTATTTACAACTTATCTACAACTTTCATACATTATTTTTATTCGGTTAAATACAACTACAACATCATACAACTTAAATACAATTTTCATACTAATTTTATATGATTTGTATATATTTTGTAAGTGGTGTGTTCTTCTTCCTCTATGAAATTCCAGTCAAACCCTCCTCTCTTAAAATATTTTTGATACATATAAACAACTTTATGTAAAAAGATCGTATTTATAACTTAAATATAATTTTCATACATTATACGACTATTTTTCAACTTTCATACAACATTCAAATAAAAAAAATATTACAACAGAATACAACTTAAATACAGTCAAAATCAAGTCTAACCTTCACTAAATACTGTAACGACCCGGCCAGTTATTTTAAGACTTATAGCCATGATCCCCTATTAACTGCATCTCCCATATCTATTTCTGCTATTGTAACTTGCCGGGAGGTTTCGTTTTGGTTTTTGGAGTGATTTGGGATACTTAGTCCCTAAACGAAAGCTTAAGTCTTAGGATTTTGATCGTAGTCGGAACTGTATGAAGACGACTCCGGAATGGAGTTTTCGTCGATTTCGTTAGCTCCGTTGGGTGAGTTTGGAGTTAGGAGCGTGTCCGGATTGTGTTTTGGAGGTCCGTAGCTTATTTAGACTTGAAATAGCGAAAGTCAAATTTTTGGAGATTTGGACCGGTAGTGAAAATTTTGATATCGGGGTCGGATTTTGATTCCGAAAGTTGGAGTAGGTCCGTAGTGTTGAATATGACTTGTGTGCAAAATTTGAGGTCATTCAAATGAGATTTGATATGTTTCGACGTCGTTTGTAGAATTTAGAAATTTCAAAGTTCATTAGGCTTGAATCCGTGCATAATTCTTGTTTTTGATGTTGTTCGACGTGATTTGAAGGCTCGACTAAGTTCGTATGGTATTTTAGGATTGGTTGGTATGTTTGGTTGAGGTCCCGGGGGCCTCGAGCGTGTTTCAGATGCTCAACGAGTCATTTTTGGATATAGGGAGTTGACAAATTTTCTGGTGTTATTGCAGACATTTTTCTTCATCGTGTTCGCGAGGGAGATCTCGCGATCGCGTAGGTCATCTGAGAGGTCAGCTAAAATTTCTCTTCACGTTCACGAAGATGAAGACATGATCACGTAAGGTTATCAGGCAGTGCACCGCGAACGCGTGGGCTAGGCCGCATTCGCGAAGAAGAAGCGAGGCAGAAGTGGAGTTTGAGTGTTACTCTTCACAGTCGCGTGAGGACAATGGCGATCGCGTAAGTGTAAGCAGCTAGTGCATCGCGTTCGCGTAGAGTAAATTTCTGAGGGAGCGAAGTAGTTCTTCGCGATCGCGAGGCCTTTTCCGTGATCGCGATTCAGGAACCACTAGGCAGAATTTAAAGTTCAAAAACGAGGGTTTAAGTTCATATCACAAAATTTGA